AAAGACCCGTCGACGTATGTCGAAAGGTTGGACACTGTGGCCAGCCAATGAGTCCAAGGTCTGAAAGGGCCTCGCTCCTAGGCAGCGATCGTGCACACCAAAATCCACAAGTCCAATGTCCACGGCCGGGCGACGTAAGGTGAAGGCACCCAGGCAGTGAATGGCAAGCCAAAGGTGACAGAAGCGGCGTTCTCGCTCTTACTAACCGCAACATATACCGATGGTGACGCGACCAATGCCAAGCAGTGACGACGAAACTACGACAAAGCAGAGCCCAAACACGAGGCCGTAAGAGAAGCAGCGTTCTCGCGCTTGCTAACTGCGACCCTGCCCCGTTGGGAAAAATACCGCCCGATGCAGACGTCAAAAGGCAAGCATGGAGGCGGGCGTCCCAGAGCCACCGATACGCCTACTTAGGCGCCTCCTGCGAAACAAGCCATGGATTTTTCAAGGCCTTGGCTATGATACCTCTTCTGCAGGTTTTGGGAGCCCCCACCCTAGGGCTCACTGCAAAGGACAGCCGTTTGAGCTTGAGAAGCTGAAAAACCAGCCCTACATCTTAACTAACCCTGTGCAGCGGCCTAAATTTTTAGAAGGGCTCAGCCAAAGGGTGGGACGGGTACCCAACCCCTACAAAACGCAAAAGCTCTCGGCAAAACCTTATTTCCATCCTGCTGGGTAGCGAAAGTATTTCGCAATCCAGTCTCGATGGTGTTGGAAGCTTTGCGGCGTGCAGCACAGCAAGACCGGCCTCTTGACCTGTGCGGCCCTAACCTTTGCGGCAGCACGACCTGACCTCCAACCTACCTGCGTGCATGAACAAGCCCTCCTGACCTACCTCTGGGTCGAGTGAAAAGGTGTGGCCTTCGAACCTTTGGAGAAACTGCGAAGGCACAGGGCGCCCGATCATGCTGCACAGGCCACTGAGCAGGTGACAAGGGTGGCTTTACCGGCAGGCCACCACGCCGAGCGTTGACTGCGTGAGTCTCGTCACCCAAGCACAGAGAACCGTTCCAAGGCGGGCACAACCAACCCCGCAACCGCACAAGCAAGCCCCCCCCCCAGAAGCTCTCTTGGCGAGTCAGGGACGGGTACCCAACCCCTACAGAGCGCCAAAGCTCTCGGCAAAACCTTATTTCCATCCAGCTGGGTAGCGATAGTATTTCGCAATCCAGTCACGATGGTGTTGGAAACTTTGCGGGGTGCAGCACAGCAAGACCTGCCTCTTCTACAGCTGGCTGTAAGGCGAGACGTGGAAGGCATGTTCACAGTGCGTGTGCGCTCAAACACAGATGGCGGCGGCATAGGCAGACTGAACAGGTGACAAGGGTGGCTGTACCGGCAGGCCACCACGCCGAGCGTTGACTGCGTGAGTCTCGTCACCCAAGTACAGAAAACCTTGGCAAAACAGGCACAACCAAACCCACAACTGCACAAGCAAGCCCCCCCCCCGAAGCTCGCTTGGCGAGTGTTGGCCTCCCAGCTGGGATCTCAGGCGTTTGGCTATGACTCCCCCTCTGCAGGTTTTGGGATCCCCCACCCTTTGGCTATACCAAGCACAACCGCTTCAGCTTAAGGGGGTTAGGAACCTGCCCTAAATCTTAACGGGCCCTGTGCAGCGGCCTAAATTTTTAGAAGGGCTCAGCCAAAGGGTGGGACGGGTACCCAACCCCTACGAAACGCAAAAGCTCTCGGCAAAACCGTATTTCCATCCTGCTGGGTAACGAAAGTATTTCGCAATCCAGTCTCGATGGTGTTGGAAGCTTTGCGGCGTGCAGCACAGCAAGACCTGCCTCTTGACCTGTGCGGCCCTAACCTTTGCGGCAGCGCGACCTGACCTCCAACCTACCCGCATGCAAGAACAAGCCCTCCTGCCCTACCTCTGCGTCGAGTGAAAAGGTTGGGCCTTCGAACCTTTGGAGAAACTGCGAAGGCACAGGGCGCCCGATCATGCTGCACAGGCAACTGACCAGGTGACAAGGGTGGCTTTACCGGCAGGCCACCACGCCGAGCGTTGACTGCGTGAGTCTCGTCACCCAAGTACAGAAAACCTTGGCAAAACAGGCACAACCAAACCCACAACTGCACAAGCGAGCCCCCCCCCCGAAGCTCGCTTGGCGAGTGTTGGCCTCCCAGCTGGGATCTCAGGCGTTTGGCTATGACTCCCGCTCTGCAGGTTTTGGGATACCCTACCCTTTGGCTATACCAAGCACAACCGCTTCAGCTTATCGGGTTAGGAACCTGCCCTAAATCTTAGCTAACCCTGTGCAGCGGCCTAAATTTTTAGAAGGGCTCAGCCAAAGGGTGGGACGGGTACCCAACCCCTAAAAAGCGCACAAGCTCTCGGCAAAACCTTATTTCCATCCGGCTGCTGGTAGCGATAGTATTTCGCAATCCAGTCACGATGGTGTTGGAAACTGCGCGGCGTGCAGCACAGCCAGACCTGCCTCTTCTACAGCTGGCTGTAAGGCGAGACGTGGAAGGCATGTTCACAATGCGTGTGTGCTCAACAGCAGATGGCGGCGCATAGGCAGACTGAACAGGTGACAAGGGTGGCTTTACCGGCGGGCCACCACGCCGAGCGTTGACTGCGTGAGTCTCGTCACCCAAGTACAGAAAACCTTTCCAAATCGGGTACAACCAAGCCCATAACTGCACAAGCAAGCCCCCCCCGAAGCTCGCTTGGCGAGTGTGGGCCTCCCAGCTGGGATCTCAGGCTTTTGGCTACGACTCCCCCTCTGCAGGTTTTAGGATCCCCCACCCTTTGGTATACCACGGACAACCGCTTCAGCTTAAGGGGGTAAGGAACCTGCCCAAAATCTTAACTAAGCCCCGCGCAGCGGCCTCAATTTTTAGAAGGGCATAACCAAAGGTAGGGACGGGCACCCAACCCTTACAAAGCGAGGGAGCTTTCCACAAAACCTTCTGAGAAGCGTTGCGGCTCGCGGTCCAGCCAAACCTGCCTCCTGTGTCTGCGGCCCCAACCTTCGCGGCAGCGCGGCTTGACCTCCAACGTACCTTCGAACCTTCGCGGCCTGACGGCTAACCTACAGACCTGCGGCAACTCATAACCCTTATAACCTACCTCTGTGGCGAGCGTGAAAGTGAAAGCCTAACCACTGCGGCGGATGAGGGCTATGAGATGCAAACCTGGGCGCAGGCCTGTAGCCCCGAGACACATTGCCCTTGTGCAAAGAGCAAACAATCCAAGGCGTTAGACCTGAGTGGCAAACCTGGGAGCCTTTGGCTTACGCACATCCTCCCTTGTACAAAGCGCAAGTGCCCTCGGCAAAACGTGCTTAAAAGCTTTGCGGCTTGCAGTCCAGCAATACCTGCTTTGTGGCCTGTGCTACCCGAAACGTTGCGGCAGCGCGACCTGGCCTCTGACCTACCTTTGCGGCGAACGCGGAACCTGGCTCCTAAACTTCACGGCGGGTGTGTTGGAGCCTGAGCTGCTCGAGGTCCAGCTCCAGCTGGGGCACGTGAGGAGCCACCCCACGTTCAAGTTTTCAGCGAGAACTTTCTCCGCTGCTTTGCATGTGGGGTCGCTGCCTCCAATCAACAACTGATGGAGGCCCACGCCATGACGGCGAGGCACGTCCGCCTTACCACGGCCTACGTGGCCAAGCGAAGGCGTGAAATGGCAGCGGCAAAAGCTGCCAAGCCTCCCGAGCCGTAGGCTCCAGTGCTTTTCCGGCACCCTTCTCCTAAGGCACACCTCTGGCTCCTTCCTCGCCTTTCGGCTGAGGTTCGACCCTGCAGCGGTGCCTGGGAGTGCCCTGGGCACCCCTTGGTTTCTTTCCTCGCCTGTTCGGCTGAGGTTTGATCCTGAGGCAGCTTGCCCGGGCTCCGGTAGAACCCGCCTGTACAGTTTTTGGTAGGGCCTACCCCTCGTCTGAAAACGACTGAGGTTGGCGGGTGTAACTAGCCACCTGTAGTCTAGGACGTAGGGCCGCTCTTGCCCAAAGAGGCTGAGGTTCTTCTCACTTGCATGTGAATTCATCTTTCTGACTCGTCTCGGACGGCTCGCAGCCCGGCGAAGAAAAGTTGTACCCTGGCTCAAGCTGTTGTGGTTCAAACTGGCGAGTGGACGCTTTGTTGCCGTCGTGGCACAGCCTTGAGTCCTACTTTCTAGAGGTCCCGACCAGTCCCCAAACCAACCGTGTACGTTTCGTAGGCCAGATAGCTGGCGAGGGTTGGGGCGGGCGGCCGGTAGGTTGTGCACGATGCACTCCAGAAGCCGCTCCACGTTGTTCTGGAGTAAGGCAAGAAGGTCTGGCTCCATATCCACATCGGAGGGCTTGGGGGCCTCAAAGCCAGCATCGCTGAGTTGGGTCCTGGCCTCATCCGGGAGATCAGCCCACACCTTCCGAAGGGACTTAAGGATGCGGGTGTTTCTCTTGGAGCGATCATCCTGGGCCTTCGTTGGGCGAGGGGTGGGCATGTCGTCTGGGGAGAAGTCGCCAACCTCAGCCTCGTCGTCGAAGGTGACCTGCCTACGGGAGCGGGGAGCGCGCTTGCGAGAGTTCCTGGTGGGTGACTGGGTCGGTGTGGAGGAACCACTACCTGGGCTTGGAGCCTTCGGGAACCGAGCCGGCCGGACAGGTGGGGTGTTTCCAAAGCTCGTCGACCCACACCCAGGCTTTCTGGCAGCGCTTGCAAACGTGGTAGGCACGTTGAGGCATACCTCTGCCAAAATGGCGAGGGAAACCTCAGCCCGAGGCGAGGAGCTAAGCAGGCCACTAGCCACACAACACAAGCCTCAAGCCGATGGGAGCAACTGTGCAGCCCACAAACGGCGAGGGAGTGAGCGTGAGACAGGGACAGGTCTGCCCCCACCTCCCCCTGAGCCCACCCCGGACCCCCTCAAGGAAGGTCGTGAGTCGGGTAATGCTCTTCGTCGTTCCATCTTGAAGCTCAAGCAGTTGGGACAAGAAAAGCTTAGGCTTCAGGAAGAGATCAACAAGACTAAGACTAAGCTCCATGACCTTCTCCGCGGCATGCAGGAGCTTCAGGAGGCCATCTCCGAAGCCACCGATGTGGCCAGGAAGTGCTCTGACACCTACGAGAGAGGAGTCCTTCTGCACGTCCCCAAGAGTGAGGTTGACTTAGTCCTTGAAGCCCTGGGGCTCTCCCCTGAAGCCCTCACTGGGGACAGTGCTCGAGAAAAGGGAGAACCAAGACAACCCTAAACCCTCAAGCACGGACGCACACATTTTCACGCGAGTGGGTAGCACGACACTCCGTAGTGCAGCACGGCAGACATGCCAGTGCTCGAGGAGTTTTGGAATAGCATGTGCCACAACCCAGCATGGGCGCACAAGACTTACCCTACCCCGACCTATCGTGCCGTAGGGTGGCAGCGGGCGGGGCACGATGAAAGACACTGCAGTGGCCACAGCTGGCAGCAAACACACATGCAGAAACTCAAAGAGCCTGCAGAAGCAGCAACTTGCGAGGACACGAGTGAACACGCAAGCCAAGGGCACGCAAGAAACATGCTGACGCGCACACACGACATGCGAGTGCAACCCTTGCACAGGCAAGCAGCACTAACACGCTTTCCCTCGCCCTTGTCCCCCTACGATGGACAAGTCCACTCCACAGGATCAAAAGGCCAACCTCAACGCCCTGCGAGCCTCGATAAAGCCACCCCCTGACGTGCAAGCTCCCCCCGGCCTTGGGCCCACGCCTTTCAAATTCGGCTCTCCTCCTCCCCCGGCCGGTGATGAAAAAGCCAATGGTGACCTTACTGAGGAGGCTCCTGACGGCTCTACGGAGAACCCAGGGCCCCGCCAGGTCGGCTTAACCACCCCGCCGAAGACCCGTAGCCGCTCACCCTCCCGTGTGCCTCCGGCCTCTGATGCTGCCAAGACGAATGGCTCGTAGGAAGGTGGTAGGGGTCGGGGGCGGATTTTTGGGGGCCTCTTGGTCCGGGTTCGTTCCCCCTCGGCTCCACTTCTTCCGCCCCTGACCCCGCACCCACCCTCGCCCAGGTTCCTCCCGCATACCTCCTCCCCTCGGCTTGGCCGTTTTGGAGCCTGAGGTTTTAGGCAGGTCCTTCTTCAGTCCGCCGTCGGGCCCACTGCCTGTGGCTCAACTTCGTGCGAGGGGTACTGGCACACCTCTTTCTTTGAGACACCGGAAACCTTTGACGCCTCATTTCCTTTCCGTGCCGAACGGCTGCGGTTTAGTGCCCTTTTTGCTGCCCACCCCTCGCACTCTCTTGTGCGCCAGAGGCCGTCCTGGAAGTGCAGCCCAGTGCCACGGCCACGTGACCCTCCGAATGGGCGCCGCGCCAAAAAAGCTCGTAGCGCCCTCTGCGCTTTCTTCGGTGCGGAGGTTTTGTTAGGCGTGAGGCGATCAAGCACCCTCTCCCGCCTTGCTTCGATCTCGAGATGGAGCACATCCGGATCTTGCGCCACGGGTCTCGACGAGGGAAAGCCCCTGGTCGTTTTTGTCAACCTCAGCTCTTCGGTGAGGAGCGGGCGAGGGTCGGAGGCGTCGCCTGGACTCTCTCACGGTCCTGCTCCTGGCGCGCTTTGGCCTTCGCGCGTGCTGCCTTATCTCCGCAACGGACAGGGAGCTTGCCTCGGAGAAACGGCGCGGCTGGCATGCCCTGCCGCAGCGCGCGAATGTGGCCGGACGGTGGGTTCCTCGGACCCACCGGTCCGTGGTCTCCAACGAGTGGTGGCACCCGATCCGCCCGTAGCAGTCTTCTCGCCTGCGCCTGAGAGTTCCCTCTGCTGTGCAGCTTCTTCTGCACCGACGGAGGCCCCAGCCACTACAAGAGTCGCTTTCTCAGAAGTTACTTCCTCAGTGCCGGCTGATGCTTGGCCCGCTCTGCCCGCCGAAGCCATCCCTCAAGCCGGTCCCAAGGGCCTTCCCTCGCCTTCGGCTGAGGTCGCTGCCTCGGCTCCAGACTCACTTCAGCAGCCGGCCGTGGGCTTCCTCGACTCTAGCAAAAGTCCCGCCTCCAATTTTTGAGCAGGGGACCCTTATCTCCAAAGCTATAGGCTCCTCGGAGACCCCTGGAGTGCCTTCGCCTCCGACTGAGATTGCAGTCTCTGCTTCAGTTAGATCTGAGCGCCAGGCTCCAGGCCGGCCACTCTCTGGCCCTCCGAGCTTCTGCTAGGCAGGTAGAGCCTGCCTCTTCCACCCACACCCCGTGGTCCGGGTTTTAGGGGCCACAATCATCAACACCGCTGCTGCGGCAGCCGCACCTCAAGTGCTGCTCCGACGGCTTGAAGTGAGCCGCTTAGACAGCTGAGGTTTCAGGTCTCTCTGCGACCCAGCCGGATCCTGAGGAGCCGGGCCTTGTTTGGCCTCGCTTCCGTTGCCGAGCGGAGGGAGCCCAGTCCTAGCTTGAACCCTTCCGGGAACTGGGGAGATGCAGCTACGGACTCCCCGAGCCCCTCCCCTCAGGGCTGTGAGGGGTATTGTGCTGCAAGGAGAGAACATGAGCCATCTGCTTGAGGAGGTGCCACTTAGCGGGGGAGGGTGTGTCATCATAGAAGAGCGTGTAACCTCCACTCAGGGGAGGAGAGGATAGAACCGGCCCGAGGGAGGAACGAACACCTGGGGTGAAGAAGAGCTCCCGGACCTGGGCCGTCTAGAGTGAAGTTAAAAGCGAGGAGGAGACCGATGGCGCGTCAACCTGGTAGATGCACAGAGAGCAATCAGAACACTTACACAGGTTGAAATTTTTCTCTTTCGAGATGCGGGACCAGATGTGCCCCTCTGGAAGAAGGGACTCATTGAGAGCCTGCAATCTCTGCCCTCTTGTTGGGCGAGGGAGAAGCGAAGACTCGAGCGCGGAGACGAAGCGGTTCTTCCGCGGGACGAAGTTCTCTTTTTCGGCCTTGGCCAAAATTGCAGCGGCGCGGCGGCCCAAGTACTTGCAAACAGGGAGCTGACTCAGTGAACCTCCTTTTGAGCAGCGAGGCGGTGAGGAGTCTGGACTTCCTCAGCCCTGTCCCTGGGGAGCTTGTCTTGTCTGCCAGGGAGTTGAGCTTGCGCGCCACAAGGCGTCAGCGCCAAACTCAAGACAAAAGTCCGAGTAGCTGAGGTGGGAGCGGACCCAGTGTGGTTCGGCTCTGTGCCTGTGGTCCCACGCCTTAGACCACACAAGCGAGGTGCGCTTGGTAAAAGAGGCCTTGAAGGCTCAGAGCGGGCTGGTCGCAAGTCCGAAGGATAGTAGGTCAGACGCTACGCCGCCTCACCAGAGGCCGAGAGCGCATCCCCGCCAGGTTTGCCAGAGTTTGGTGGAGTTTCGCCAGTTAGTGCACCACCGCAACCCACCGTGGAGACGTTTCTTTACCAGACGGTGCAGCAGCAGCAGCAGCAAGTTGCTCAGCTTACGTCTCTAGTCCAGGCTCTTGTGAGCAGGGATGTGCCTGCGCCACCTACTGCGAGAGGCAAGGGCCACGGTGGAGAGCTTAGCTCCATCTCCGATTCGTCGGGGAAGATGGAGGTTGATGAGGGAGGTGCCCCCATCAGGAATCCCAAAGCTGAAGCTTATGTTGCCAAGTTGCCTGCAATTGATGGTGGAAAAATGAGCAAAGGCCGTCGCTCGGAGATCGAGGGGTGGGCTGAATTCTTAGAGCAGTTTTTGCCTTGGATCGCCCTCTTTGACGATAGGATCCCGGAAGAGCTTCATCGGTCGATTGCCTCGGAGGTCACCATCAAGCAGTCGTCGCTTGAAAAGGGACAGAGCGTGCGTTCAACTAGGACCTTCTTGTACCTGAAGCAAGCGTTGCAAGGGTTTGCTCGTGGGCTTGACTTGGTTAAGCAAGTGCTGGGTATGAGTGCATGAGGAGATTGCATCAGGAGTTGTCTGTTGCGAGCCGCATCGAGGCTTCGACGCTTCGGAATGAAGCTTTGCAGTACCGCGCGAGCACTCCTGCCAATCGTCCACTTGACATGTTTCGGAACATCCAGTTGGAGCTTGCCAAGTTTACCCGCTTGACCGCAGGGTTCCCAGATCTTGCGTTGAGTGAAGCAGATCGTTGCATGATTGTTTTGAGAAACCTTGACGTTGAAGTGAAGAAGTATGTTCTTTTGCATGCTAGGGTTGACTCCATGGATCAGCTTGAAACTGCTTTGAAGTTTTATGATGCCAACCTTAAGATCCTGAATTTCCAAGAGAAGGAAGGAAAGGGAGCAGCAAAGGACCACGCGAATGCTTTGACCTTCGAAGACAAGGGAAAGGGCAAGAAGGGTGACAAAGGAAAGGAAGGAAAAGGAAAGGACAAAGGAAAGGACAACAAGAAAGGGAAGGAGAAAGGAAGAAAAAGGGAAAGGTGGAAAGGACAAAGGCAAGGACAAAGGGAAGACCGCAGCCGCAAAGGACGGCAAGCAAGGTTCTGGAAGCGACAAGGAGAAGGAGAAGGAGAAAGCAGAGCGCTTGAAGAACGTCAAGTGTTACAACTGTGACCAGTTCGGGCACTACTCGAATAAGTGTCCCAAGCCCAAGAGGGAAAGAGCATCAGCAGCTGCTTTGCTCGAGCCGCAGGTCGCGGCTGCCTCTTTGGAGCCTCAGATTTTCGCAGCAGCGGTTGATCTGAGTTGTCCGGTTGTTGAGCTTGATGAGGAGGATTGCTCAGATTTTTCCCAGGAGGATTGGGAGGAGTTTGTTGCATCTTATGAGTGTGCTTGGTCGGAGCCAGTTGTGCTTGAAGGCGGTGAGCCTGTTGTTGCGCATGAGGGTTCCATGTTGCACGTCGTGCTTGACAGTTTTCCTTGTGACAGCCCAAACAGAGCCACAGTTGAGCTTGCAGAGTCCCGCGGTGTCCCAAACAGAACCACAGTCGAGCTTGCAGAGTCCCACCAGGTCCCAGAGAGAACCACAGTCGAGCTTGCAGAGTCCCCAGAGTTGAGCTTGGAAGTAGGTCGTTTTGTTGCAGATTTTCAAAATGGCGTTGAGCATGGCATGTTGCATGGGGTAGGTAGACCTGACCATGGCATGGTAGCGCACGAAACAGCAGCAGCCAGCCAGCAGCATGACACCATGGACTGGTGGCTCGTCGACTTTGGCGCGTCAGCCCACATCATCAACGAGGACACTTTGAGCCGGGTGCACGTTGTGAGCCACAGTGAGTCTGCCAGTGTGTGTTTCTGCAACGGGTGACAGCATTGGAGTTCGGAGGTCTGCGGTTGTCAGGGTTCCATTCGTTTTGGTTTCAGGCGAGACGGTGGTAACAGAACTCCAAGTGCTTGTTGCTCCTGTGAAGTTTAACCTGCTGTCCTTAGGGCGTTTGCTGGGCAAGAGCTGGGTTGTGGATTTCCTGCCAAGTTTTAAAGTTGAGGCCGCTGGGTACGTCCTTCGCACGAGATGGGTCTCCAATTGCGGATGGGTTTTCTCGAGTGCTGTTGAGCTTGACCGTTCCGTTGCAGTTGCCGCCCGAGCGAGCTTGAAGCGTAGTGACGGCTGTGCTCCTTCGTCTGGGAAGCCTTCTAAGAAGGATGGGGAGGAGCAACCGGGCACCAGAGGAGTCTTCTTCCGACTCGGAGCAGGAGTGGCGCCTTTCGGGTCGCCGCCACCTAGCGGAGCAGCACGCGGCGACTGTTACGAGGACGCACGAGGACTTCGAGGGATCCACGGTCGCCTTTACGGCAACCTCGATGGTGGGTCTTACGCCGGGCCAGAACCTGCTGTTGGTGCCAGCCGCGGAAGTGAAGAAGAAGACGGCAGAGCAGGCAAAGGCAGCTGCGAAAGCAGCGGCGGAGAAGTTCGTGAAGGAGCGCCAGGAGAGCGCCCAGTGGGCCAAGGAGGCAGAGGAAGCAAAGAAGAAGAGAGCAGCCAAAGCCGCCGAGGCCAAGAAGAAGGCAGCCGAGGCGGAGAAGTTGATCAACGAGGCCACGGAGGCAAAGAAGAGAGCAGCCGAGGCAGTGGAGTTGGTCAGCGATTCCCCAGAGGGGAAGAAGAAGAAAGCAGCCGAGGCAGAGAAGTTGGTCGACGAGGCCACGGAGGCAAAGAAGAAAGCAGCCGAGGCGGAGAAGTTGGCCAGCAAAGCCGCGGAGGCAAAGAAGAAGGCAGCCACAGAGGCCGTGGAGACAAAGAAGCCCAAGGGCAGTGTGGCCAGAGCAAGGGCAGAGCCGTCTTCGGGGTCGAAGGACCCACCGCAGCCAGTGGTGAAGAAGCAGCCCAAGCCGCCCATGGTGAAGGCAATGCCAGCCAAGGTCCGAAAGATCGTCCTGAAGAGCCGGGCCCAGCGCGGGATTCCCGGGCAGACCGACACTGCGCTGAGAATGCTTTCGCAGCGGGCCAAGGAGAAGAAGAAGAGCGGCTACCTCATGAAGGCCATCAACAACGCTATGAAGAAGAAGGCCGAGGAGCAGAAGGGCGCGCCAGTCAGACGAACCTGGGAGAAGCATATCAAGGACCACTATGCTCAGATCAGGGGGCTGGAGATCCCGTTCGTGGAGGTGACGATTTCCGAAATCGTCAAGGAGCCTCGGGGACCACCGCCGGTGCCACAGCCGAAGACCCCTCCTTCTACGCCAGCGCGAGCTTCAAAGGCCCCGGAGGTCAAGGTGGAGAGCGCGCGTGCAGCAAAGGTGCCGGAGGTCATCAAGGTGGAGGGCATGGAGATCAATCCCCCACCACCGGTGCCACCAAGGAGGAGGCTACCCATGCCGCCGAGGGACCCGAGGTCAGCCGGACGAGGGCCCTCTGCGCCCTCAGAGTGGTCACCTGTGTCCAGTCTGCCGCCATGGTCACCAGTTTCCAGCGTGCCGGTGGATGCAAAGGCCAGGGAAACCCCAGCAGAGGGGAGAGCCGAGCAGCTGCATCTTGGGGAAGACGGCAAGATCTACAACTCCCGGGGCGAGGTGGTGGAGCTGGAGAGCATGGAAAGCATCGAGATAGAGTGAGCCACGGCGGTGCACAAGGATCCTCCAAGGACGCCCGCCAATCTTCCGAGGACGCCCACCATCCAGGAATATCCGATGGTCCTTCTTCCTTGGGACTCTCGCTTCTGATGCAAGAAAAGGTTGCGTTTGCATGTGAGCATGACGCCGCAGTTGAGCTTGGTGAGCATGCATGTGCTGGTGGTTTGGATGAGCATGAGTTGCAGCATGGTGAGTTGCTTGAGCATGTTGGGCAGGACCGACCACAGCGTGACCGGAGCGAGGCCCATGATAGCCAGAGTGAAGCATGGTTGCTCAGAGGGGATCGGGAACTGTTGTTGCAGGAAAGCTGGGGTAAGCTAGAGCGAGAACATGTTCTTAGATCGCATGTGCCGTACAATGCGTCTTGCCCGCAGTGTGTGCAAGGCCGTGGGCTTGAACCCGCCAGAAGCCAGGATCGGCCCCAGGACTCAGGGATGAGAGAGGTGCAAATAGATAAGTTTTTCTATAAGGGCCTCGCGTTCCTGGTGTTGGTTTTGGTTGGTGCTTTTGCCCTCGGTGTGGTTCCGTACCGTGAGGTGAGCGGATCCCGAGGCCCAGCAGCCAAGGAAGCCATGTTGAATGACATGTCGGCATGGAGTCGTAGCGTTGGCTTGGTTGGTGTTGCTCCCAGTGAGTTGACGGTGAGTGTGAAGTCGGACATTGAGGGTGTTGTGAAGAACCTTGCGCAGAGTTTTGCTGATGGTTTGACCGCCGGTGCCATCGAGGTTGTGGATGCCCCTGTTGGTCGGCATGCTGTTGTTGCAGAGCGTGCGGTGAGGACCATCAAGGAAGGTGCAAACACACTTTGTGCTGGGTTGGAACAGGTCGGCTTGGAGCCCTGCGGGAAGGGTGTTACGTATCTTTTGATGCACGTTGCCCAGGTCTATAACCGGTACCAGGTGCATCCTGGATCGGCGCTGTCCCCAGAACAGCGTTGCTTGAAGACCACCCGAGGACCGCATGCCGCTTATGTTTGGGGTGCCGCTGTGCTTGCCACTCCTCCTCCCTCTTTGCGTGACAAGATCACCGGCCGTTACGGCCACGCCGCCTACCTTGGACCAGAAGTCGGAAGTGGAAGCCACATTGTGCAGTTTAGGCTGCGGGATGGCACCTTGAAGATTGCGAGAAGTGCAAGAATCCGGATGTTGGTTCCTCTTACCTTTGAGGTGTCGAGCTTGAAAGGTGTTTGTCGCATGTTGCCAGGAAGGAGAGATGATGCCCAGAAGAAGCTCCCCGAGAGCACTGGCGAAAATGTGCGCGACCTCCCTTTACCGAACACCGCGACCCGAGGACCACCACCAGAGTGGATTGAAGAAAACGGAAGAACCCCAAGGTGTCGAGCTTGCCGGCTGCGCGGTTTTCCAGCGGATAAGGCATGGCACACCCAGAGATGCCGTGATCGATACGCTGAGTTTGTGCGGAACTCCTTCGATCCCAGCCGGGCGATCCTCGATCAAGCCCCAATTGAAGAAGAGCCGACCGGGCTTGATGATTTGGGTGCTGGATTTGATGTTGATCTTGGGCTTGATGTGCCGGATGATCTTGATCCTTTCCCGAATTTTCCATTGGACGAGGATTTGGCTGAGTATGAGCCCAGCCTGCCTGGAGTTGAGAATGAGATAGAAGTTGGAGAAGAGCTCGAGCAGATCGAGGCCCCGAGTCCGGGCGAGCTTGATTTCATGCAAGTGGAGCCGGAACCTCTTGAAGCACTCCCAGAAGAAGAGCGGGAGGCTATGGTGTCTAGCATGATGTATCGCGAGTCCATCTCCTTTGCTGGTGCGTCGGTTTGCTTTGCAGGGGCCACCACCACCAAGGTTGTTACTCCTCAGGTTGTTGAGCTTGGGGGGGAGAAGCTGCTTGTTGAAGTGCCAGCTTCTGCAAAGGATGATGTGACTGGGCACCTGCTTGATATTGGCTTGACCTATGAGGGCATGTTGCGTGAACTTCGTGCTCTTGAGTCGCTTGCTGTCGGTGATGTTGTGTGGCATGTTGAACCGAAGCAGAAGGTGATCTCTACAAGGTGGGTCTCAAATGCCAAGGTCGAGCGTGTTGAGGGAAAGGAGAATCCGCTTGTCAGGTGTCGGGTTGTTGCTCGTGACTTTGCGCAGGGAGCGACCGCTGCGCAGCTGGGTATCTCTGCTGCCACAAGTTCCGCAGAAGCGCTGCGAACCTTTCTTTTCTACGCCGGTTCCAAGAGGAGGAACATCATCGGGTTGGATGTGAGCACCGCGTTTCTCTTTGCGGAGCTCGACGAAGAAGATGGCCACATTGTGGTCAGGCTGCCGGACGGAGTTAAGAGCAAGGACGGCCGCCGCGGCTACTTACGCCTAAAGAAGGCCCTCTATGGTCTAAGGGTTGCAGCTCAGACCTGGTCGCGTCACCTGGCAAAGCTGCTGAAGAAGCTCTGTGACCTGGAGCCCTGCGAAACTGAGGCTTGTTTGTTTTCAGGATCCGTGCTTGGAGGCCAGCGGGTGGTTGTTCTTTGCTACGTTGATGATCTTCTCATCACTGGAGACAGCGACGAGGCTATCTACCATGTGGTGGAGCAGCTGAAGACCGCTGTGAAGGTGAAGGTCACAGCCGATCTGGATCGTGACGGTCAGATCACCTTCCTTGGAAGACAGATTGCCCGAGAGCATTCTAGTGACTCCCTGTGCGTCACAATGTCCGATTCCTACTACGAAGAGATCTACAAGGGTTTCTTCGGGAACTCCAAGGTCACTGCGTGCGGCACGCCGCCAAACCTAAAGGAGTTGTACGACAAAGAAGATCCTTGCTTGGAGAAACCACTGTCTTCTGAAGCTGCTGCGAGGTTTCGCAGTTCCCTGGGAAGGCTGTCATGGCTTGCGATGACAAGAGTGGATGTGGTTTACTATGTGAGCATGCTGGCCCGAGGCCAGGCGAATCCACTCGAGAAGCACGAGAGAGCTATGAGGGCTATGTTGCGTTACTTGAAGTATATTCAGGGTTTTAAGCAGGTGGTGAGTCCAGTATCTGAAGAGAACCTGCGCCTTGATTGCTATGTGGACGCTTCTTGGGGTAGCGAGAAGAATGTTGACAGGAAGAGCATCAGCGGAGGGTGCGTGATGTTGGGAGGCTTCTGTCTAAAAGCCTGGAGCCGTCTGCAACAGGCTGTTGCCTTGAGTTCTGCTGAGAGCGAGCTCTATGGGCTTGTGGAGGGCGCGAAAGAGGCTCTCTCTATCCGCCGCGCCATCTCGCATGTCTTTGGGTGGGAAGATCTACCAAAGCCCCATCTTTTCTGTGACAGCGAGGCTGCAGTTGCTATCAGCAAGGCTGATGGGCTGAGGAAGGTGAGGCACATTGACCTTAGGGCGTGCTTTATCCAGGACCAGCTAAAGCAAAAGCAGATCTTTATCTTTGGCGTGCGTGGTGAAGCCAACGTTGCAGATCTGTTCACCAAACCTTTGAGTTGGACTGTTACCTTGAAGCACATGTGGGGACTTGGCTTGCGTGACGTTGCCGTTGTTGCTTGTGTGCTTGATGGCTTTGTTGCGTTGTGCGGTGCAATGCTTGTTGGTAAGAACCATGTTAGCTTGCGTGACCGCTTTGCCGCCATGCCGCATGCCTCCTGGTTGGTGATTGAATTCTGTGCCCCCGTTGAATCGTCGATGAGAGCGGCTAGTCAGGATCTGAACTGGGTGAACGTGCTTACTGTGAGTGAGCGTGATGATGGTGCCAGTACCCAGACCTTGCTTGAGCTCAAAGCCATCTTTGCTGTGCAGATCAAGAAGAAGGGCTTTGTCTTCTTGTGGGCCAGTACCCCGTGTACCGGAGGCTGGCCATATCAGCGGCTGCGTGCCCGTGATCCAGCCTATCGCCGCGGGCGGTTGGCTCAGCACTGGAGGCTTCACCGAAAGCTCTGGAAAAGCTTGGTCGAGCTTACTAGCTTTGTGCATGCCTGGGCCATTGAGTGGCCACGTGCTTGTGCTTACTGGTCTTGGCGCCAGACTGAGCATTTTCTTTCTTCACGCCCCTACGTCTTGCACGACGTTCCAGTTGATGGTTGTGCGCTTGACATGCGAGGCCGCGATCATCTTCTTATCGCCAAGCGGTGGCGTGTTGTTACAACACACCCAGCAGTTGCTGAGAGCATCCGTGTCTATCGTTGCTCTGGGAAGCATGAGCACTCGAAGGATTTCGACCTCAAGAGTACACAGCACTACCCGGTAGAGCTTGTAAAATCCTTCTTTGAAGCGTTGCGCCCTTGACTTTTTACGAGAGTCTTGTCGTTGTCGAGGACATGTTGTTGCATGTTTGCTGCGCAGCCTGTTTGCTCAAACTTTCCGGTGTTTTCTTTCTTTGCCAGGACGTTTAAGATGTCTCTGGTTCCTTTCGCTGCCGAGCGTGCCATGGTGTTAAATTTGGCCTGGTTGTGGAAGTGCAAGAGAAGCTGCTCGAAGTACCGAGTGTCGGGCTTCTCGTTGTTGTGCTTGTCCCACTGCTTGTGGGTGTTGCGCTTGGAGTGTGCTTGCAAAAGCTGCGTACCGAGAGCTCCCGCGTCAAGACTGTGCAGGACCTTCTTTCGTTTCTGCCAAGGTCGGGCCAGAAGATGGCTGTCTTTACTTCTGCTAGACTGCCACGGCCTCAGGAACGCGCTTCCGAATCGCATCGCTGCTAAAGTGGCTTGCGAGTACTGTTTAAGGGATCTCCGCCTGGTACCTCCGACAGCTACTGCGTCGTGGGGGGGTGTAGAAAACCAGTGCTCTGCCCAGTAGTGTTTTAGGTGCGACACAGAGTTTTCCTCGGTACCTGTATAGTTGTATAGTTTTGCTAGTTTCAGGTGGTCAGTGCCTGTAGAACGTAGTTTGAGCTTGCGTGACGGTTTTGCGGTAGCCTCAACCTGTTTTCCCTTGTTTTGTAGTGCTTGGGAGCTTTTAAGAGGTGCCACGACTACTGTCGTTTGGCTCAAGACACGTGAGACCAGCAGTGAGCTGAACGTGCTAAAAGTGTGAACTGTCCGAGTGTTTTGTGAGCTTGCTTTGCTTGCAAGGGTGCTTGGAACTTGTTTGCCTTGAACCTGAAGAGCTGTTCGCCTTCTAGGTTTTTAACGAAAACGATTTCGTGTGGCTTCTTCTTCTTGTTTTGTGTGTGTGTGTGTAATTGCGTGGGGGCTTAATTGTGTTTTGTTTCGTTAAGTTTGCTTTTCTCATTTTATTTTCTTCGCAAAAACCACCCATAAAACAATTTCGTGTGGCTTCTTCTTCTTCTTGTTTTGTGTGTGTGTGTGTGTGCTTGCGTGGGGGGCTTAAAGGGAAGCTTAAGGCTTAAAGGGGGCTTAAAGGGGGACTTGAGGGGGCTTAAAGGGGGGGGCTTAAAGAGGGGCTTAAGGGGGGCTTAAGGGGGGCTTAAAGGGGGGCTTAAAGGGGGGCTTAAGGGGGGCTTTAAGGAGGGCTTAAAGGGGGGCTTAAAGGGGGCTTAAAGGGGGGCTTAAGGGGGGCTTAAAGGGGGGCTTAAAGGGGGGCTTGAAGGGGGCTTAAAGGGGGGCTTAAAGGGGGGCTTTAAAGGGGCTTTAAGGGGGGCTTAAAGGCTTCGACCTTTTGCCCTCCCCCTGTTTGCGTAAACCTCTAAAGGGGTAGCTCTAACAGGTACCTACAGCAATGGCTGCATGCTCATACATATACATTCCGCTGCCCATTGGCTCACAGTGGTTTTTACCATATTGAGACAAGACAAGCTCTCCTTGCGTAGCAAGACAAAACAACTACTGTCCGTGTGCAGGGCGCTGCCCTTTGATCCTTAGGGAATAAACTGGTCATACACCTCCTAACAAGGAGCATTTCCTTGTGGGTGTATCGGCTCAGTTTTCTGGTAGCGGAGCCCGGAAAGGGCCGCCCGCCTCCCAAAGTCCGCTACAGCGGTCGGCCTCGCCGAACGCTTAACCAAGCGGATAAGAGGCAGCACAATGTCGAGCTCGCATAGCGAAGCCGACGACAGTTCCCAATCCTCCGGGGGATATGAGAACGAAGAGACCTCCCAAGGTCCAGCCACTTATGTCGCACAGTCATATGCAACATCTGACCGCATGCTTGCATCATTAGGCATAACGCCCAAGATCGCGCCTGCCTATGATGGCACCACCTCGTGGTTTGAGTATGAACAGTTGATTGACGACTGGTGCGACATAACAACGCTGGATGACACCAAAAGAGGTCCGTCTCTCAAGACGAGGCTCTCCGGATTGGCCGCAGTACAAAAGGAATCACTGAACCGAGAAAGGCTTGCAGCCCCAGATGGAGTAGATTACTTCAAGAAGAAGATGCGTCCATTTTTCGTGAAAGGAGAACAGTACGTTTTCCTGTGGCGTTTCCTCGGCCTATTCAAGGCATGGAAGGGCAACCAAGACTTTGTGACTTGGATTGCCAAGTTTGAGATCGTGCTACAGCGCGTGAAAAACTCATGGATGGATCTCTTACCAGAGATAGCTCTGGAGGATGCCCATCCAGATTTCATGCAAGCTGTGCAGGCAGACCAAACCTTCTTGCGCATGCAGGATGCAGCCGAGAGAGACACATATGCCGCACGCTATTTCGAAACATGGAACAAGGAACGCCTTGACAATCATCGAAGAGCGTTTCCTCTGAACGATAATCTCCTAGCTCTCCTCTTCCTAGTGCAGTCCGACCTAAATGAGATGCAACGTGAGAGGTTGGTAACAGCATTGACCAACCAAGGTCACCGAATTGAGACCTACACGTACCCTGTGGTACGGCAGACCATGTTCGATCAGTTCTCAACGACCAGAACTGGTCTGCAGGATCCCAACATTCGGCACTCTTCTCACAAGAAGGACCGCCATGGAAGGAGAGACCAACGCCGTAAACGCGGAGGTCGAAACTTCCTCATCCTCGATCAGGGTGAATACGATGGAGTCGATGGATTCTGGCTCCAAGACGAAGACACCCTTGAGGAAGGCTTTCTTGCCGCCGAGGATGAAGAAGCTGTCTTCTGGACAGTTGATGACCATGAGGCCTTCGTTGCAAGGAGATTCAAAAAGGGAAGAAGACCAAGAATGCGTCCCGGATCACCGGGAAGAGCAAAGGGTGGCAAGCGAAAAGGACGTGGCCGTTTTAGGTCATACCGCGGAAAAGGGAGAGCCAACCAGGCAGAACATGATCCAACTGATTCCAGCTATTTCGGTAAAGGTAAAGGAAAGGAAAAAGGAAAAGGTGGAAAAGGCAAAGGAAAAGGAAAGGACAAAGGAGATAAAGGAAGCTCCTTCAAAGGCGCAAAGGCAAAAGGCAAAGGTAAGGATACAGCTAAGTCTGCCTCCTTACAAGGAGACCAAACTGGATCTCCACAGGCCTATGAGAGTTCCACCGCACCGAGCTGGGATTCATGGTATGAGGACAGTTATTATACTGACTCCAGTTGGAATTATGCCGCTTATGACGATCAAACGTCTTATACATACTATGCATCACAAGCCTCACGAAGAAAAACACGGAGAAAGAAGAGAAGAAATCAAGCAGGATCATCAGGTAGAGGCACAGATCCGAGCGCGCACCAAGAACCCGTGTTCAACTCATCAGTGAGTTACGTGCCCCAGGTCTTTGAACCATCCGAGGGGCAAGGTGTTGAAACTGCAACAGCGGTGTTTCCGTTGCAGCACACCGTCCTATCTGCTCTCACAGAGCGGATCAATCTTGATAAGAACCCTACCTTTGTCATACTTGACTCAGGTTGTACTAGGGCTATGGGTTCCCGCTATGCGGTGAACAGGCTTATCAAGGCCGTGAAGCAACGTGCCCCAGGCATGATTGATTTCACTTTCTCACCTTCGAACACGAAGTTCTCTTTCGCAGATAGTGAAACAGCTCTTATCAAGGAGCGTGTAACTCTATGGTTCAACACAACTCCAAGAAGAGATACAACCATCGAGGTTCTGGATCAGGGGAGAGTTCCCATTTTGTTCTCCATCGAACAGATGAGGAATCTAAGAATGACCCTCGAGTGTAGTCCCACAGCTGACCTAGCAACGTGTGAAGCTTTCGGTTTGTACAAAACCCCCCTTCCGATTAGTACCAATAACCATTTGGTATTGGACCTTCTAGGCTTCACTTCCACCAGGAAGTATCTCCCTAAGTCAGGTACGTCGTTCAGTGCGACGGAGACTGCTCTAGGAGCTAAGAAGCCAAAGGAAGAAAGAAGATCTTATACTAAGATCCCGGAAGGTCGCTGTCCAGCCTGCGCAGGACAGAAAAAGCCTCATACGTTCCTCAAAGGTTGCGACAAAGCACCTGAAGGAGCAGCTGATCCACCACCGAAGGGCATTCCAGGTAAGAAGAAGCCTCTTCCATCTGATCCGGCAGAATCATCTGCCAAGAAACCTGATCCACCAGAACCATCTGGTGATGCTCCTGAGCCTTCCGAACCATCGGAACCATCATCAGGCTCTAGAGACAAACCTGCAGAATCATCTGCACCGCACGAACCTCCAGAAGAAGAAAGACTTGAGGTTCCACCTGCGAAGACAAAGACTCCAAAGGGTCTTAAAAACCTTCTGAAGAAAACCCGCAAATATGCGGTCAAACCTCCTGTTGAGGAGAAGTCTATGGTCCCAGGAGCTGATGACGGGACGGAGGTAAAGCCGCTTGAGTCAAGAGAATACCCGGCTCCTGGTACAGACTCACCTACAGGTGAAGAGATTGTCGCAGAACCATCGCCATCTCTTCCCATTGCTCTTCGCAGGATTCATGAGAAGCTTAAGGACCCTGTAGAACTCTATAAGCTTCACCTTAAGCACCGTCATATGAGTACGGATCAGTTCAAGCGACGCACGAAAGCCTTACAGATCCCAAAGGAGATATATGAGCTATATGACCAACTGGTCAAAAAGTGTTCAGCCTGTCAGGAACACGTGAGAGCTCCTTCAAGAGCGAAGATTTCCGGTTTAAGATCAGAGACTTTCGGTGATCTCACCTTCGTAGATCACGGTGAGCTTCCAATTCCCGGCAAGAATAGTCGCTTAATATTTCTTATTCTCTATGACGGAGCAACAAACCTGTTGACTTCCGAAGTAGTCCAGGATAAAGAAGAGCATACTACAATGTCGATTATGAATGACTACTTTGAGAAATTTCAGATCAACCCAAAGGTTGTAGTTGGAGATCAAGCATTCATGACTCCAAAAATGGAGGCTTATTACAATCGGCAGAATATCAAGCCTGTAGCAACAGGACCTGGAACACCATGGCCCAACAGGGCCGAA